CGCTGATAAACTCGCTGTGACAATAATAAATCCGACAAGCACACAGCGCTTAACTCAATTCAACGGTGTCTTGCTGCAGACGGAGCATACTAAACATATTAAAAAAAATAAAAAGATTCTTCGCGCATACCCAGCAGGGTCCTGTCTGAATGTCAGTCAATTGATATTCCTACAAAAAAAAATGCAGTTTAAACTGAATTATAGAACAAGAAAATCTGACTGGATTTCAGGTTTCCAGGAAGAAATCCAGTTAGATTTTCCTGTTCCATTATCTAATTTATACTGTTTTTTTTTGGTAGGGATTGAATGTGTGCCCCGGGTTATCGGGATAATCAAAATGGCTTGGTACTCTCCGGACAGACCTCGTGTACGCATAACAAAGCAGCAACGAGTGCGTGTCTTTTAAAGAATTTTCGAATTTCTGAAATTTCATTTTTTTTAACTAGAACTCTATAGACTGTTTTAGCTTAAAAAAACACTGCACAAAAAAAGTGTTTTTTTAAGAGCATAAATAGGACACGGAATTTAGGTGGGGGTCACAGCCCGCTCTAAGCCCCGCCCACAGACCAGTGGCCCCACCCATTGCTACTGGACTGATCTGGCTGCTTGATCGAACAGGCTAACAAGCGTAGTGTCTTGCTTTCCCGTCATCCGATGCGTCGATCTAGTCCAACGTTACTAAATTAGGTCAGTTGTTGAACTCCTCCGGAAGAGGATAGCCCACCCCGCCCCTTCCCTCTCACTCACTTCAGCCCGCCGCCCGTCGTTTGAAGTACCATCTAGATTTTCGTTTAATAACTGTGTGTCCCATAGAACAGAGCTGGAACGCCATCTAATCGCCGTGCTTCGAAGCATACGCATTCCACACAATACACTTCACTTAGCATAGGAGCCGGTCGGCGCTTCGACCAACTGGAGGCGAGTGGTGGGGAGGGGGGGGGGGGGGGGGGGAGGGGTACTGTACGTAGAAGTAGCGTCTATGAGCCGTTCCGTAACCGAGCTAATCTAATAACATTGGTCTAGTCTGGAAGTCTAACACCATCTGCTAGTCGTGCGAGCAGACTAGCGGCAGCCTCCGGCATCGTCTGCTATTTCACTGCCGTCTATCGTTGTATGCAATGGAGTGAGGCACGCGGACACGAAAGCTGCGCGTTTGCGTCCCTTTTCACCTTTGTCCGTCTGGTATTCATCATGTCTAAACACTTCTGCAAAGCTCAGATGACGTCACCATGAAAGCGGCGTTCTAGCGTTTTATCATGCACGAACCACGGTCAAATACAAGCGTCTGTCAGCGTCTATCGATGTGCGTAATAAGCGATCAAGAGAACTAAAAAAACCAACAAAATATATATGCAGTCTTTCTAGCTATAACGTTGTTATTTTTTTTTTTTGCATGGTATCGGCAAGGTGGGTGAACGTCATGACGCACAATTAAAAAGTGACGCAAAAATATTCGCTTTTGTAGGCCCAATGCGCAGCAAAACGTGGGAGCTAGTCGGCTTTCTAGGCGCAATGGGGGGAACATACCTAGCCAAACTTGATGCAAGCCGAACGCCCGATTGCCTGCAACCGAATGGTTCGCAAATTCTTACCTGTGTAGGCATCTTCTCGGTATTGAAACCCAGGTCGGAATGAGGACGGTTGTACCATTCGCAGAGCAGCGGAGCCGCTTTTACTGGAACCAAGATCCTTATTCAGTAAAACACGCGCAAAGAAAGAAATCAAGTCAAATCGATCGTAATATTTTATGTTGGACGCTAGGCTTAGGCTAGTACCGTTACTAGAACTAGCATCCGCACAACGCTTTCTGAGGCGCGTACTTGAGGCAGTTGCTTGTTGCTAACTTCATCGGTTGTGGAGATCTTCCTCTTAGGCCCGCTTCAGAGGAGCAGTTTCTTTCTGCAACTTGACGTCGCAGCGCCAGCAACACGGGCCACCTGCGTCCACACGCAGCAACCAATTGCTGCAATTGGCCATCAACATGATTAAATCTGATTTTTATGTCACTATTTATACACGCCGTTACGCGCTATAAACGTGTTTTATGCATTTAAATTGCGTTGAGAATTCTAGTGCATCTTTTTGGAACGGTGTATCTCCCAAAACAATCAATTTCAAACCAGATCTAAGCCTTTAGTGTTCATCATCACCGGCACGAGGTATCACTTGAAAATATCGTATCCCTGATTGCCCTGCTGCCACTTCAAACGTCTTCGAATTGCTTCGAGTTGCTCGCTTGTTTTGAGTCAGACCCGATCTCAGCAATTAGTGTCGATTTACGGAGAGCTAGGGAACAACCCCTCCAGCAAGTCCGAATTTATTGAGAAAGTTGTCCCGTCTGAAGCGGACCTAAACACCTCTGTAAACTCACAATCACTTGTAGTCATAAAAATTAACAAGCTCAGCGAGGTTCGCTTGTTCAGCACTCAACTATTGAAAAATCCGGCTTAAGCTGGTCCCAGCTTCAAGCCGGGTTATTGCCCCAGAATGCTCAGTTTGGCATGCTGGTTAAGCTGGTGGGCGTCTACACCAGTTTAACCAGTTTAAATTGGCACACAGGATAAACAAGCCAAACTCTTCAGAGAAGCCATATCGGCATCCATCCTATTATATTCCTACTCGCGGCCTGCTCACACGACCTCAGATGCTACACATCCTGAGTGCTGACACAGTACTAACCGACGCACAGACAGTGGTTCTCGGTGCAAAACAAACAATGGTATTAAAACTAGATTGCTTATCTCTCAACGCGAAAAACAATAGAAACACACCAAAAATGGGCGATAAAAATGACCGCCTCTCCACGTGGTGAATCATGTTGATCGGGGCGAAGCTCTGGTGGCGCTGATGATACTGATTTTGTTTTCACCCATGTCATAAAGAGGATGTGTGGTATGGGACGTGGTTATATACGCATTTGAGCATTTGGCCGCACCGTACTCTCGTCTATAAACGTTGAGCGAATGCATGCAAAGTTTAACGCGATTATATGCGCATTTGACCGCAGCGCCCTCTCCTGTATAGACGTTCAGCGGCTACATGCAACGTTTCATCCATGACATCCCCAGCTCTTGAGTTACTACGACATCTCAGAGCCCCCACTCGTCCCGCAGTCGTGGCCGAGTGGCTAAGGCGATGGACTAGAAATCCATTGGGGTCTCCCCGCACAGGTTCGAATCCTGTCGACTGCGCAAACATTTTTTTTTAAGAAGACTGATGGGATGGCAATCGATGTGAGCACGGACGCCGGACGGACAAGGCTAGACCCCGAGGAGCTTCGCCCCTAAAATAGAAAATACTACACGGATGAGAGAAGCGAACTTGGGTACCGCCAGTGATGGGGCGAAGTGGCCTCTTGCGTAGTCGGCAAAGGCGAGGAAATCCATGTCGCTTGGATGGCATTGGCGATATTCTTCGGTACCACCGTAATTCACGAGCACACACACTCTCGAAGATATGAAGCGAACGTCCGACCTCTTTTCGCGCTACGCGGATCAACGGACTGCCGCTCGCTGTCTCGTCAAAGCCCGCTTTGCTCGCACCGCGGTCCAAGTAGTCTCCGACAAGAGCGCACTGCCGTCTCTTCGAAATTAACCTTTTGTAGAACCATCGGTTTGCTAGTAAGTGGATCCAGTACCCTCTTTCTTTTCTTTCTGACCGAGCAGAGAGGGAATATATATATTCTTTTTGTCTTGACTTCAGGGCAGATAATAACACACGATGGAGACAAAGGCTAGGTTGGCGGAGCCTTAGCGAGGTCACAGCGGCTCAATGGCAAACAGGATGTAGCTGACATTTCAGGTGTCGTACGGGTGGGAGAGGCCTTACGCGCGCCTGAAGCGCCCGGTCACATACCAAAATGCGATAGGAAAAATCACAGGAATAGGCATCGTCCCAGCCCAAGCCCACCTTAGCGTGCGCGCCCCCAGCAAGACCAGCTTGACCAGTTTGATTAGGAGTTTGACCAGCTTTACCAGCTTGTCTCCCAGCTTGACCACATTGGCTCCATAGAAAACCAGTTTGATCAGTTAGGACCAGACTGGCTCCCAGCTACACCAGACTGAATCTAAAACCAGTTTCTACTTGGACCATGCTGGCTTTTACTCAAACCAGACTCAGCAGCTAAAATTCTAGCTTGTTCAGCTTAAACCAGTTTGATTGCCAGTTAAACCAGTTTAATTACCATATTGACCTCTTTGACCAGCTTAATTACCAGCTTGACCAGTTAGATTTTAATGCTGATTTTTTAAAAATAGTGTCCGCGGACTCCAGCAACCATGTTTGTTAACGTTTCAAACCAATGCACGAGAAGCAATCTCAGAATACATCTGACAAGGACAAGCACTCTATCTTTATTATTTGCTTGTAAAACATTAAAAAAATAGTCGAGAAAATACTATTACCGCATGGAGATACGAATTTACAACCACCCTTTTCCACATGAATCCTCTCTCCAGCCAATTAAAAATGTAAGCACATTGTAAGCGTTGGGTGGAACTTAGCGGGTTGCGGCCGCCACCTTCTGTACCAAAATAGCGTCTAACAATGTTAATTATATGCGAGAAAAAAAAAACCATTTTCGTGGAAAAATGATAAACATGAAAGGAAACGTGTCCGTTTTATGTCATTAAAAAAACTTATTTTTCCTTGCAGTGTCCCTTTAAGGGACGCAGGACGTGGTTCTTTACGTTCACGCTCCACACTTAGCGATTTTTATTTCGGCGTTCTTATCAGCGAATGTCGCAAATACCGTTGACAGTGGTGCGATCATAAAATGCATGGGCCTCGAAACACCTAGTGTTTGTTAACCTTTCAGGAGTTTATCTCTCGTTTGCAACATTAAAATGTAAGCAGCTTTGACATAATAGCAGCAGTTATTATACAAAATGTGTAAGTAATTAAGGTTGTGGCAATGTTTTGGACATTTGCCGATATATAGGAGCTTAGTGGTTTGTCCGTGCCGATGATGTTAATAAATATTAGATTTTTTTTCCTTTCAGCAATTGGAAATGATTTTTAGTGATGTCTGGAAAAGGTACCAGGACGTCAGGAAGAACGAAGGAAGCAAAAAGTTGCAGCACGATCTCAAGCTAGCGTCTGAGGCCTTAAGGGCCATTGGTCAGGCTGGATTGTTTGTCGTCGCTTCCATCCCTATGCCGGTCATCCCTATGGCGGCCGTCGCTATAACGAGCATCGCTGCGAATCTAGCTTCTCTTGGCACTGAGGCGGCCGCAGCCATTACAAATCGGCAGAACGAGAAGGATTCAGCGGACGCAGCAGGAGAGCTTCCAACCGACTTGGAGAAAAAACAGTCTTAAACGGGAGAGTTGCACGCCGAGGACTCGACAGGTCTCATTCGATAAGTGCAAGTAATAATGGCTTCCAAGTGCATGCATTAGCAAGGGCTTCTTTGCTCCTCTACAGGTCGGCCCTTGCTTTTTATTATGTGCCATGTGCCAGCTGCAGATATCTCATGGCGATGGACGAGGCACATAATAACTTTGCTTGTCATGTTGCAATAAAGCAACCTGTTGCAGACATGATTTGTTGAAATCCCAGTTTGTAACTGTGTCGAAAATTCAATATCACTTACTTTTCGCGGACATTCCCTGTGTATTGATTTACACTTCAATTTTATTTTGGCTACCTAAATGTCCCTTTCACTGTAAATTAATTTACGCCCTTAAGAGTGTCTGCGGTGTCTATGACTCACACCCTAACACCCCTAGAAAAGGGTTTTTTCGTCACGATAACGCCAATGTAGTGGGTGCTCAGGGCAGCATTACACCTTATAAAAGCGCGCTAAGATCTAAGGGTGTACCGATTCACAGGTTTACGTTTAACTGTGAACGATTAAATTAGGACTGCTTGTGACTGCTCGTAATAGAAGCACTGGGACCACCAGTCAAGAAGCCTTAAACCACTTCCGACCCGCGACTGAAGGCTTTGTAGTATTTGCAAGATCAAAATCTACGAAGGCAAGTTTCAGAATTATTTTATGGCCGTGGTGAAATAATTAAAGGTGTGCAGATCGGAACTGTGATTTTGCCAATGTCGGCGGAACATCACTTGGGTCGGCCAACGCCCCGCTGATATACATTATCCAGCGCCGTTTTCCGGTAATTTGTCGGGTCTGAACCAGCTATATCGGCCGGCATTAGGAATTTTTGACCGATTCTAAAACGAAACCAGTAATTTCTAGTGTCTGAACCGGCTACATCGGCCGGTATTAGGAATTCTTTACCGTTTCTAGAACGGTATTGAAAGACAATGCTTTTTCTGAACGATAATTCCGGGAATTTCTTATTTCAAGGAATCGTCCTGCTGAAAAAAAAAAAAAAGTTGAAATCTCATTCATTTTGGTAGGAAAACTAATGTGCATATTTAAGTAATTAGATGACGCTTGAATGTGAAATTGCCCCAAAAATCTGCAAGCCGAATGTACAAAATGAGACAAATTGATTGTGTGTTTTTGTGCCAAACCGAATGGGAATGAATCAGAAAATTTTACTAAATACCGTTAGCAGCAATGTGCCACACAGTCTGAATGCAATGAGCACTTATCGCAAATGTTTTGCCCTATTAACGTTTTTCTATATATTGCCTTTCGCCGCAACTATATTTGCATTGTAAATTTAATAAGATCGACGATAGGACACATTGAAATCATTAGTTAGATCTGCTAATCATCGAGAGGCGAAAATCGACCGGAGTGATATATCCATCATTGTGTATGTGGCCCAATCTACCGCCCTTCTGAGGCATGGCAGCCTGATCCATTCATTAGTTGCTTTTGCTCTTTTTGTGCGAAATGGTTTTCAAGTAGCACACGTATGGTTAATTAATCACATTATTAATAAGGTACAATTACTTTGTGAATATTATATTAGAGTATATAGAGTTTGCTGGGTCTTCCGCTTGTTTTGTGGCATTTTTTTTTGGAGGGGGGGAGGGAGGATTGTTATTTGCGTTTTGGCTCAAATAGCTCAGCTTCATATGCACACCCTGTGCTGCGAAGAGCTTGCTTGGTCTGAATTTCACTAGAGAAAAATCTGGAGTGATGGTTTTTAATGACAAAAAGGGAAATCCGCTGAGAATGCAGAACTTTGAAATAGACTGTGAAGATAAGTACAAATATCTGGGTGTCTGAATGAAACAGAAAAAGAAGTATTTAGAAAAGACAGGGGAAAATATACTAAAAAAGGGAAAAAGAAATTCGGCTACTATGAAGCATAGAGCATTATGGGATTATAATAGATATAAATCAGTTCAAGGCATTTGGAAAGGAGCCATGGTGCCAGGTTTGCCATTTGGTAATGCAGTGTTGTGCATGCGATCAGAGGTTCCAACAGGTTTGGAGGTCAGACAGAGAAATGTACGCAGGTTGGCACTGGGTGCGCATGGAAACACGCCAAATGAAGGGGTACAAGGGGACACGGGCTGGTCGTCTTTTGAGAGTAGAGAGGCTATCAGCAAAATTGAAATTCGATCAAAGGCTAACGAAAATTGAGGACGCACGATGGGTGAGGAACGTACAAGAGCATTTATAAATGATGAGTTTAAATACAAAATAGACGAACCGAACGAGAAAACTAAAATTTAAATATCTGCTAACTAGGGAGGAGACTGAGCGGAACACTACGGCAAGACAGGGCGTAAAAGAAGCGGAAAGGAAAATGTGGAGGGGAAGGATGCAAGGAAAATCAGCTTTAGCAATTTATAGGTCACATAAGTAGGAAATAATAAAGGAACAGGTTTTTGATAATTCACGGGGTAGTTCCCTATTATTTGAGACTAGAACAAGAGTTCTAAGAACCAAAACGTATAGGGCTAAATTCGAGAAAATGGACACATTATGTGGCATATGCCAAAATGAGAACGAAGCAATGGAACATCTGGTTTTAGAATGTACGAGGCGTCGTCCTGTTTTTCCGGAGTGATCAGCGGATTTCACGGGGCCGCTCGGTTCTGCGGAGGAGGATGGAAGAATGGAGGAAAAAAGTGTTACAATCACAAAGAGGAGATTGGAAAACTGGTGGATACAGTCAAGAGAAAATAGGACGAACAATTAGAACTGCTGGGGGACAGGGGGAAAAGAGGAATATTTTTTTTTTATTTGTCTGGCGGTTTTTTTCCTCCCAGGGTGCAGAGATAAAGGCGTGAAGCCTGACAGAATCTCTGCACCCCAACAGTTCAACAGTAAACAGTACAATGAATATAATCCGCAAAAGGTATACTCAGTAAAAATTAAAAAAGGCACAATGAAACAGGTACTTTAACATTCAAGATTGTGAACTGTAAAATAAAATAAAATGGCACAATCAAGCAACCAGCAAAAACATGTTACACAACAAGCATGATTCGAAGCGTATAACAAATGTAACGTCGTATGACACAGAAGCATCATATCACTAATATAAACATTAAAAAAAGTGAGAAGGGCACAGCATAAAATAGGACTGATGGCCGCCATTTAGTATAGCAATGAAGAATGATCTAATATATGTCCAGAGCCACATTTTTAGTCAAATATTAGTACATAATAGAAATAGCCTACATATTACACAACTGAGAAGCTGATTCCACTGCCCACGAGAAAGCTTCTGCACTGTTTCTTGAAGGAATAAAATGTTTTATTATAATCTATAGCCATGTCTGTTCTGTTTAACATCTTAGTTATCTGTATGACAGAGCAGTACGGCCATAATTGGTTCTTATTGAAGGCATCCTTCCCTTTGGGTCTCGTAGTTGGTACGAACCTAAACTCGATTTTGGTGTGGAGTATATTCTATGTTTGTGAATTCATTGTAAGAGCTTAAAATAGTATATTTGGTCAGCCTGAAGCATAATATATTTGATGAATAGTGGTTGGGTCCTTATGTTTCTAATATCTCCTTTATAATTTTCGCACATGCAAAGAATCCTCTTCTGCAAGGTGATAAGTTTGACATAGTTCGAATTGATTATCGTCCCCCAAACTAAGATGCCGTAACTGATTTTAGAGTAGAACAAAGAATAGTACAATGTCTGTTTTAGCCAAGTGGACAGCAAGTTTCGTATTTTATATATACTTCCCGTAACGCGAGATAATTCACCTTTGAGTTTATTCACGTGAGTGTTCCATCATCTTATCTCAGTGTCACACAAAACTTACTATATTTTTGAAAGACAGAAACTGCCAGACGCTAGCATCAATGGTTGAGGCCGCCGATCGATTTCTTGAGGCGCAACAACAAAAGAACATCTCCTCCTTTAGAGACAATGCAAGAGCCACGTCAACTCATAGACCTAACCTCGATGCGCCGGCGTTCGCGAAACCTAAATGTTTCCTGTGTGGCAAGCTCGGTCACGTGCAGAAGTAGTTTCCGGCAAAAAATTCCATCCTGTTCGTTTTGCCAAAGAGAAGGGCATGACGTAAAAGACTGCCCCAAGAAACAAAAAAATCCACGAATCCTTTGTATGGTGGAGCCAGAATCAGTAGAAAGCACGCAAACTCCACCTGGAAACTTTGTAGAGGGATCAGGCCTTGGATCCACAAAGGATTGCGAGGCAGGGCTAGTTAACGTGGTTCACGAGAACCACGAGGTATTCGACGTATATAACATGCCCGTCTTACGGGGGTTACTTAATCAACAGCCAGTCAGCGTGCTACGTGACACTGGTAGCAATACAGTGATAGTTCGACGCGACTTGGTGAAAGATTCTTGTCTCACGGGAAAGACAGGAAAGGTTTTTCTCGTAGATGGCACATCATTGCAGCTGCCGGAGGCAAAAATAATGCTGCGTTCTCCATACTTTGTTGGGGAATTGATCGTAAAGTGCATGGATACACCTCTCTATGATGTGATTGTAGGGAATATTCAGGGTGCACGAGGAGTCGATGAGCCGGACTTCGAATGGAAAAACAAAACGGTCCAGCAGGCCTCACAAGAACCTGAAAAGGAAGATGCCTCGATAGGCACTGCAGCAACGACCGACGTGTCAGCTGCGAACAGAACTGTTGGAGTGCAAGCTTGAGCTGACAACAAGCGATCCTATCCAGACTCCACAATACCCAATCCCCTTCGCGACGAGGGAGACGATAGAACAGGAAGTGGCACAAATGTTGGCGCTAAAAGTGATTGAGCAATCAACGTCACCATATCGTTCTCCTCTAGTCCTAGTGAAGAAGCAAGACAAGTCACATCGCGTTTGCATTGACTTTCGACGTCTAAACGACGTACTCATTCCGGATGCCGAACCCATTCCGCTGATAGAGGACGTGCTCGCGGAAGTTGGGAAAAATAAATATTTCTCGAAGCTAGACTTGTCAAAAGGGTACTGGCAGATTCCCCTCGCCAGCGATTCGAAAGAAAAAACAGCATTTTCTACCGAGAGTGGTTTGTATCACTTCAAATACATGCCTTTTGGGATTAAGACTGCATTTGCCGTCTTTACGCGACTAATGAGGAAGGTACTCACAGGTATCAAAAGGGTACAACATTACA